GTGTATTCACTTTTGAGTGACAGCGGCTCAGACTCGCAGCCAATCATCAATTCCCGTCCACTGGTGGACGGGGAATTCGATTACACTGCCAAACCCAGCAGGCGGTATTTCCCAGGCTTGCCCAATTTTAGGAACCGCCTGCCATGCAAGCTACGGTTCATCCTGCTGGTTACTCCAGCTTAATACAAATATTAAATAACAACGTTTGTTGTTTCAATGTTTGTTTTCTTAATAAAAATGTACAAAAATAGCAATATTAAGTCTGCTTAAATTGTAACTGTATATAGTACTACTTAATGTTCACAGTAGGAATGGCAATGGTGCTGTAGCATTAGCATGCCTGAACATTACAATAGACATGTTTATAAACTGGAATGTGATGGCATTTAAGACCTAAATCCTTACAGATGGCAACCCTGCAATGTAAAGTGTGAGTCTCTGTATGAGATGTATTATTTATGCCTATTTATCCATAGATGATATCATGATAGATCCGTGCATGAACATGTGAATATCAGATGAACAGTTTTGTATTGCAGAATGTATTTTCCCATCCAACAGCTAGTCCTAACTTTCTGGCAAATGACCTTAATTTGCTTTCAGAAATCTCCAACCTTGAAGTAATTTTAGTTGTTCCAACATTATAAATAGATTAAGTCAGTTTCAAGTTATTGTAACATAGATTTGTTTACCAGGGAATCCTTATCAAGCCATCCATGGTCAGATAATGAATTACAAAGTAAGTTTTCAATTTATAAATAATACAGAGCCTACCACTAGGTATAGAAAGTTTGTGTATATATGTATATATCGTAACTTGGATTATCAATCTGCTCCAATATTCAGTTTCAACCAAGTGAACTGCAGAAAAAAATCTTTCAAATTACCTTAAACATTATTGTGTTCTCTGTTAAATCTCCAATCAATTTTTTTGTAAGAATGTAATCATTGAACCTTGTCTAATTGGATCACCAAAGACAAATGATTCAATTTCTTTTGTCAACATAGTATCCTTTTACGAATTTCTTGTAGATGAACTTGAAAGATTACAACAACTGACAAAGCAACTAAACAAAAGTTTGGAATCATCTGGACTGTCAGCTCTCCCTGGTACTGATCTGGATTTAATGCAGGACTCTCAAACATTTATTAAGAAAGCAAGAGAAGAGACAGACAATAGTAGGAGTACATTACTCCGAATTCAATCCAACTGTAAAACTTTAGTACAAGCAATGAGTAAGAAATGATGTTTTATTCATGCATGCAGTGATGAAGCTAGCCATGGCGACAGGTCATGCCATGCAAATTTTTAATGATTTCTCTAAACCTTTAGAAATAGATTGTTTTAACCTTTTTAGATGCAAGTTTATTGGCATAGCATGTCCAGTTGCCATGGCTTTTATTGTATACACTCAGTATATCTGGGTGAAATCATAGACAATCCAGAAGACAGGGACTGGAAACGCCTAATGTTTTGCGCGTGCCATCCGTGATGTGCTTGCGTGACGCTTGTGCCAATCATGCCATGTGCAGTAAATTACTGAATGGCGCCTTTTGCTTCGAAAAAGAATAAAGCGATAGATTGTGGACCGGTACTTGTCTGCTGTTTTACAGCTCTTTATATACTGGAAAATTGTTTAAATAATCTACACCGAAAAGGGAGTTAGGTATATCACATTGTGTGTAAAGTTTATACTGAAACGGATCTGCTAATATTCAGAGACGAGTGCAGAGAATTTTCGAGCTTGTTCAAAATTTTGATTTCCAATTTGGGGTGGACTTTCAGGCACGATTCAGGTTTGTTTGCGTATTTTAGTTTACTTTAATTAAGTTTGCGTATATTTATTCAATTTTGCTTCACTGTAATTACGTTATTACCCTGCATGGTTCCAGAGGTTTAAAATAAACCTCTGGTTGAAAGCGGCAATTGATTCATCGAGCCGCGCCAATCAGTTTGAATTAGGGTCAGATCCTGACTCTGTCTCCTGATTGGATGATTGTATTAAAGCTCTCTGATTGGTTATAGATGTTTTATTTGAATCAATCAGAGAGCTTTAATACAATCATCCAATCAGGAGACAGAGTCAGGATCTGACCCTAATTCAAACTGATTGGCGCGGCTCGATGAATCAATTGCCGCTTTCAACCAGAGGTTTATTTTTCCTCTCCCCGTCGCAATGAAAATAATAAAAAATAAACCTCTGGAACCAGGGTATTACGTTATATAAATTGATTGAAGTTATCTTTTCGAAGTTTTCCTTGATCTATATTTTAAAATTTGAATTTGGCAATTTCGGTTTTTAAATTAATATACCTTCCATTTTTAATATTGACAACAAATCCTTTCTTTCTTTCTTTCTTTCTTTCTCGAAAACCTTTTTGCTAAGGCATCCATTATTTAAAAGAAGTAAAAACAAGGTTTCAGTTATTTTAACGGTGAGTTTTGTATGTCTAACACTCTTAACTTTCGACAACAGTGCCAACAAGAATGCCAATGGCAATGACGACTTTTTTGCTGTCAAAAACATTACGCATGCAATCATTAAAAGGTGGTTTTTGCTTTTGTTTGACCCAATATAAGTTTAAAAACCGGAGAAATGCATCCACATGTCTATATTTGTTTTAAATATGTAAATTGCAAACCCTGAACTTTATTTAAACTGTAGTTGCAGGGTTCGAAGTTAGGCGGTACAAACTTTGCCGCACAAAAACATTACGCAAGCATTCAAAGGACGTTTTTGGCTTTGTTTGACCCGATATAAGTTTCAAAACGGGACAAGTGCATCCACAGGTCTATTTTTGTTCAAAATATGTAAATTACAAACTCTGAACTTTATTTAGTTAAACTATAGCTACAGGGTTCGAAGTGGGGGCAACAGAAATGGCCATCTTCTAGTTGGCGCAAAAGTAATTTTGGCCATCAAATTTTCAGTAAACATTTTGGGGCGAATAAGTTACCAAATTGATATAAAAAATAGCCTATTCGATAGATTACAATCTTGTGATTACACATACTTTGACCAAAAGGTACAAAAATAGTTTATTTTTCAGTTGCAGGGTTAGTTTTGCCAGCAAGTTTTCAGAATAATATGACAATAACAATTGCCGGCTAACAACATTCGTAATTCTGTCAATCAAATTCAGTAAACATTTTTGGGCGAATAAGTTACCAAATTGATATAAAAAATAGCCTATTCGATAGATTACAATCTTGTGATTACACATACTTTGACCACAAAATACAAAAATAGTTTATTTTTCAGTTGCAGGGTTAGTTTTGCCAGCGAGTTTCCAGAATAATATGACGATGACAATTGCCGGCGAACAACATTCGTAATTCTGTCAATCAAATTCAGTAAACATTTTTGGCTGAATATGATACCAAATTGATATAAAAAATAGCCTATTCGATAGATTACAATCTTGTGATTACACATACTTTGACCACAAAATACAAATATAGTTTATTTTTCAGTTGCAGGGTTAGTTTTGCCAGCGAGTTTCCAGAATAATATGACGATAACAATTGCCGGCTAACAACATTCGTAATTCTGTCCATCAAATTCAGTAAACATTTTTGGCTGAATATGATGCCAAATTGATATAAAAAATAGCCTATTCGATAGATTACAATCTTGTGATTTCAAATGGCTTCATCGTCAAAGACAAAACAGGTTAAGTTTGTAGTTACAGGGTTAGTTTTGGCAGTATTTTCTGGAAATAATTGCTGCGTGCGCGATTTACAGATAGCACGATCCAAATTTTGCATTTAGCATCACTATAAAATAGAAATAAATGAAAATTCAGATAATACGCTTTTTTTACGATATATTTTGCATAAACTACACGCATTTGGCTTTATTTTTATGTAAATTTAAAGACTTGTTACCGTGGTAACCAAGTAATTGCTACGTGACAGGCACATCACGGATGTCACGATTTGTCATCATATTTCTAGCTTGCGTTTCCAGTCCCTGTCTTCTGGATTGTCTATGGTGAAATGCAGGGCTCTCAGGTTTTTATTAAAGAAGAGAAGATACAGACGTAACATGAGTACACAGACTGGGGTCTAAACTGCAGGTTGAAGCAAGTTGACAGAGGGGTTGATGACAAAATCAAGATGATTTTTAGTTATTTTATGTCGTTTTAAACAATAAAATCATAATTGTTGAAGGGATTTGAAATTTCTAGTGGAATTTTTTATACATTTTATTCCACTCGAAATTTCCATGTACAAATCTCTTGAACAATTAGTTTTATAATATAGCATTTGTAAATTCTGAATGCTGATTGGCTAAGAGCCGTGTTCATATAACTCATTGTTTTTTTGTGCTATATTATAAAACAAATATTTTTTTTCCGTATTGATATACAGTTATATCAACACTCGTGGAAATTGGGAAAACTCGAAATTGTGTGAAAACACTCCGCCCTTTGGACGTCGTGTTTTCACACAATTTTGAGTATTCCCAATTTCCACTCGTGTTGATATAACTGTATTATCAACACGGAAAATGTTTTATATTAGTGAGATGTCCAAAATTCCTCTCCAAAACTCGACCATCAATCTGCACTAACCTAAAACCTGCAGTTTAGATCGAGCCTCTGCATTACTAAGACTTCATAGCTACATCATAGATAAGAGACGTTGAATAGAGAGCGACATCCATTAGATACCTGGGCATTTATTAAATAGTTTACGGTATGTATACTGTATAAATTTTGCAACAGTGAGGGAAAATATTTATATTGCCGCTAATAGTGTAGTCTACTAATAGTGAGTCAAATGGCTCTACAATTATTGGGTACTATACGTAGATATATATACTGCGAAGTATTAATGTCGAAATGTAATGGCTTTCTTTGAAAAGCCGGACTCTATAGAATTCCTTTTAGAATATTCAAAACCATTCAAATATTCGAAAAGTACCGGTCCAAAAACATCTAAAAAAGAAAATAAAGTGGAGATACTAACACTAACTTTCACATTATATCGAAATTATTGTATAATAAAAATTAATAACCATGACGGCATGAGCATAACGCACGCATAAACGCCATATATAGAAATGAATAAAGAAATAAAATTTTATTGAAATTCTCTCTTTACTGGTAACAGGAATACTGTAGCAGCCACTAGCATATTTTTGCATCTAAAAAATTCCGGCCACACAGCTTCTCTTGATAATTTCAAAAAACTCGGTCATCCTGCCCTTCCCATGATGAACTTCTCGTCCGTGAAAGTCTTTTGATATCTCAGCATAAACATTCATTAAAAAAGCAGGCAGTTCCGTTACTCTTTCACTCCTTGAGCTGATACTTCCTCTCCTTATTAGGTACACCTTATGCACGTTATATGCTGCGCATTTTATTTGAAGAGTATTGTAGATGGAAATTGTCGAATGAAAGTTTATGTACATTTATGAGACCTAACCAGGAACAGCTGCGAAAAAATGCAACTTCGCAATATAAATAACTCAAATGTAATAACTTTTTAATGTGCGTATTGACTGTATACATACATAAGAAGCTTTAATCGAACTCGCGAAATTTACAATGCTAAATGGGAACGAAACAAAAGACATTACAACAAAGGCGAGTTAGATATGGGATCGGCGAACGGACTCGAAGTCCCAACAAGGCAAACCCCGCACATAAATTATAACTAGAAATTTACACTATTAAGAAAACACAAAACTTCAATAAAAGTTCTCTAATACCACTGAACAGACAGCCCAGTCTCTCGCTCAGGTTGACTGCACATACCAACGGCCACTTGAAACAAATTAATTGATGGAAATTATTTCGGAAAATAATCTTAACGGTAAACCCATGCGCTATAGTATACTTACCCTAATTCTGGTTTTAAGATAAGGATGCATATTGTACAGTCAATCTGAGGAAGAGACCGGGATGGTACAGTGTAGCATTCTCCTCAGTAACACACCTTCGCTGCTTATTAACTAACAACAGGAAGGGCTGTCAATAGAATAGACCTACAAGAAGGACATATTGTCTTCCACGTACTTAATTTGTCCTTAATCTGACTGTGTCGGTTTTGTTCTAGTATGCACTTTTCCTTTCGTAAATGTTTATCTTTATTAACTAAATGAACTTATATTATTTTTAACAGTATCTTTTATACTGAAGTGTTTTTCTTTAGCGCTAATTTGCATGTCGATATGATCAAATAACCTTACATCAAGTATAGTATACAGCCAATTCAAAAAAGGTTGTCCTTTGCAAACCTTAAACCCTCAACCTTGAACTGTGAGCGCGCAAAGCTTAATGGTTGGGTATTGCGGCTGTTTGTGAATGAATTGATCTCGTAAGGAGTTATTTACCATGTCTCTAAGAAGTGGGCTTCATATATGATTTCTAAACTAATTAAATCAGGGGCGGATTTAGGGGTGATCAGAGCGATCACACGACTAAGGCAAAAATTGGGCAGAAAGTTGTTAAATTAAAATAGCAGTCCAGTTATCAAACTTCGCGCAGTGTATTGTATTGAAAGTTTAACAGTCCAGTTCTAAGATATCATCCAGTAGCAAGGCCTTCGAACATGAACGCGC